GGGGCCTGGGGCCGGCCGCGCCTCGCACGGCCTGCCCTGCTGCTGCCGCCACCCGTTTCGCGTCGCGCTGCCAGCAATGCCGCCTGGCCGGCCCTGCACTGTGTGCCCTCCGCCCCGCGCAGCATTCATCGCTTCGTTCTTCCTCCCTTCCGCCCTTTCTTTCCTCGCCGCAGGTCAACATCACCTACTGGCTGGTCCACTTTTCCCACACCGCCTGGAAGTACTTCTACTTCCTCCTCATGTACCTCCTCACCATGCTCACCTACACCCTGTGCGGGCAGTTCTTGGTCTTTGCCACCCCCAACCAGCTCATGGCCCAGCTGCTGACCGCCTCCCTCAACCAGCTGTGGACGATAGGTGGGCGGGGCGGCGCGGGTGGTACTTGGGCCTGTGGCTGGCTGGCTGGCTCTACGCTGCTGCCGTGCGCCCTTGGAACGTGTGCACCCCCCCGTCGCCGCACCGTTTCGCCGCCCCCTTGAAAGCTGGCCGCCTCTGGTGGGACCTGCAGTGAACGGCTTCCTGATTCCGTACCCGCTGATCCCCGTGGGGTGGAAGTGGCTCAACCGCATCTCGCCCACCACTTGGATTCTGTACGGGCTGGTGCGCCTGCGGCACCGGCAGCAGCGCCAGCCTCTGCTGGTACCGCTGTTGAAGCTGGCGCTGGTCCCTCTGCTGGCGCTGCTCCCTGGCGACAGTGTTGATGCCGCCTGCTGCCCGCGATCTCCCTGCACTGCGGGCACAGAGTTGGTCCTGCGCGCTGTGCCTGCAGGGGTCCAGCCAGCTGGGCGACAGCGAGATCCCCATGCTCATCTACAGCACCAAGCTGACCACGGTGGGAGCCTTCATGAACAAGTGAGCGCTGTGTGCTGTTTTTTGTGGTTGGATGTGGGGTGTGTGGCGGGGGTCAGCTGGAAACACGTCCAATGCTGCATGAGCCACCACTGGAGAGGGTTTTGCCAGCCCAGTCCGGCCACACTCGGCCTGCACTCCTTGCCCTGCCAGCGCCTCGCTGTGCGCCAACTGCTCCCTGCCACCCTGTACCCACCTGCCTCCCTGCCTCCCTCCCGCAGCTACTTTGGCTACGACGTTAGCTTTATATGGTGGTGCCAGCTCATCATCTTCGCGTTTGCCGTTTTTTTCCGAGCCGGCATCGCCACGCTGCTTCGCTACGTCAGTTTTCAGCGACGTTGAGCTTTTTGCTTTCAGCGACGTTGAGCTGGTATGGGCGCTGAGCGGGCACCGGCGCTGAGCTGGCACTAGCGCTGAGATGGCGTGCTGTCGACGGTACCACGTGAGGACTTTCTTTCTTCGAGACTGCTAGCACTGCCCCTACACGTGCATACCTGTTTCGTTTCATGCCTCACCCGATCTGCTTCCCCTGCTGCTTCTGCGACGTGAATGCGCTGCAAATGGTTACAATTCGCAAGAGCCCGGGGGGCTGGAGCACAGGCGTGCAGGGATCAACGGTGTGCATGGATCAAAGGAGCGGGTATCAGCACGCGCCGCGGGGAGGCTGAAGGCGGCGGGTGCATGAAAGGCAGGCTGAGGCGGCGCAACAGAGGCTCTGTGCTGGGTGTGCAGCTCCAAGCTGTAGTTGCTGATGTGCCTGGGCAGCTTGCGGTCACTAGGACAGTGAAAAGAAATGAGAAATGGGCAGAGATGGGGGCCCGATGGGCTGTGTACAAAGCGGGGGCGGGGCGCTACTGCGGGCGGTACAAGCGAGGGAACTGCAAAAACGCGCGAGGGCTGGGCAGGGGCGGGCTACAGGGCAGGCAGGAAACTCTCTTGAAACTCAATGGATGCGGTGTGGCATGTGGTGGCTCACTGTGTCGACTCACTATCTCACGGCGTGGTGGTGCCACCACGGCAAGGAGCACGCCACTATGCCGGGCCCCGCAGCTCACGCCAGCGGCGGCGCGGCGGGCATGGGGGGCAGGCAGCCGCCCGAGGCGTCGCGCCAGGCCAGCAGGATGCGTACCGCCTTGTAGTGTATGCAGGCGGCCACCACCACCGCCACATGGAAGAGCTGCGGCAGGCAGGAGAGAGGGGGAGGAGGTGGAAGGCGGGCAGTCAGGATGCAGTAAATTGTGTACCGCAGGGCGAGCCAGGAGACTGGAAGCTGCTCCAGTGGAGGATTGGTGCTCGGGAACCCGTTTTCTGAGCCTGTCAGCGCAGCGTGGCGCCAAGTGCCAGCCGTCGTTGCGGCCCAGGCGCCAGCACGCCCTTGCCTGGTGCGAGTGGAAGGCGACGTCAAAGGCGCCCGGCTTGAGGCACTCGGGGAATTGCGTTGCGTACATGACAGCGCCGGCCTGAAGCAAGGGCAGGGGAGGGCAGGGCGGGGTGGGGCAGGGAAGAGCTAGGGTTCATGGCTGGGGGGGAGATGGAGGGAGTGCAGGGGGGAAGGAGAAGTAACGCAGCAGGCGTGACGAGAGGATGGGCTGCGAGTGATGATGTGTCACCACATCACCCGGCTGCTCTCGCCAGAAGCACCATCAGCAGCTGACAATCCATACATACAGATGGCGCCCATCAGCAACACCGCCACCGCCGCCACCACCAGCCAACAACGACGACAGGAGCACCGCCAGCGGCCAGCTCACAAAGTAGATGGCCCTCATCAGCCCCACCACCCCACCACCACCACACCGTCGCCACCACCGCCACCACTACACCACCAGCCAACAACAACAACACCAGCAGCTCACGATGTAGATGGCGCCCATCAGGACATCCAGGGACATGGCCTGCACCATGGCGGCCTCCCCCGCGTTGGCGGCCAGGCCGTGCAGCATGGGGATGATGCCCCACAGGCCCAGCCCCACAAACAGCGCCGCGCGGTACGCCTGCCACTCGGCGCGCTGGAAGGCCGGGCCCAGCGTGACGCCCAGCGTGCTGAGGCCTGCACCGCAGCGTGCGCAGCGCGGCGCGGCACGGAGTGAGGGAGGGAAGATGCTGCGGTGCCGCCGGTGCACTGCAGCACAGGTGAGTGAGCTGCCCTCCGAGCTAGCAGCCCAGCACGCAGCACAGCACAGGGCCACGCCGTCGAAAGAGCCTAAAGAAGGCGCATGGCCGCGGGGACGCCCATTTCACTGCGAGATGCCCTGCAAAGCTAGCTCACCTAGCAGGGAGGTTGTCACGAGGTAGAAGAGGCGCACCCAGGGCGCGCACAGGAAGCCTGCGGGGATGGGGGGAGGGGCACGGCGCCATAGAGATAGGTGAGCAACCACAACGCTGCTGTGGACTGGACACAGCTCCGCTGCGGCATCTCTTGCAAGCCAGCCAGGAAACCGCGACAGCACCGCCGCCAGCGCCAGCAGCAACTGCAGCACAGGCAGGTGCGGACACGCCGCAGCAGCGGCAGCAGCAGCAGGGCCGCCGGCGCACCGTAGTAGACGGGGGGGAAGAATGAGGCGACGATGAGGACTGCGATGCCGGCATAGTCAAAGCGCCACATGACGGCGGTGATGTGGGCGGCGCAGCAGCCAAACAGGTGGCACGTGGCGCTGGTCAGCAGGCACACCATGGCGCCCGCTGCAGGCGAGGGCAGGCGGCGGTGGCGACTGTTGGGTGTGCGGCCAGGGAGGCGGCAGTACAAGGGGCGGCACACGTATCAACCGTATCGACCCGCTCAGCACACCAGCTCGCTTACAGGTGCAGCCCACCTGTGAAGACGTAGATGGGCCAGCGGCTGACGGGGCCCTTGACTTCCAGCACAGAGGCAAGGGCCTGGTGGATGGCCGCCTCCGCCGCCGACAGGTCAGCCGCCAGCTCAGCGCCCGCGCTCGCACCCAGCGACCTGCACAGGCAGCACACGAGTGGGGTCGTGGTGGGGGTTTGCGCAGCCAGGCTCCGCAGGGAGGCGATGGGTGTTGCCCTCTGCAGGCGAGGCCGGCTGGCGCGGACCAAGCCGGCCGCCGAGCCGGGGGAGGAGCGGCTGCCCTGCCCCAGCGCACCTGATCTTCTCCGCGGCCCCGCTCAGCTCCTGCCACCCGCTCTGCCCCGCGGCGCGCAGCGAGTCGGTCAGGTGCATCAGCTCCTGCAGCAGGCTCGTGTGTGTGTGTGTGTGTGTGTGTGTTGTGTGTGTGTGTGTGTGTGCACACACGCGTCTGTGTGTGGCGGGGGCACAGCCAAGGGTGCTGCAGCGGACCCCAGCATGCAGCCGCCGCGTGGCCTCCCGGCCACAGCAGGAAGCGCACGCAAGGGCTGGCAGCCTGTCTCGATGCACCCGGCAGCACGCCCGGCAGCGGGAGCACGCGCCTGCAGGTTGTGGCGCCCGATGGAGGCCAGCCGCTCCTCCAGGCTGCCCAGGCTGCTCTGCCCGTACTGTACCACCTGCTGCTCCCACGACTCCAGCGTCTGCAGGGCAGGCGGGCGGGCAGGGACAGGCAAGGAGGTGGGACAGGCAAGGAGGAAGGCACAGCAGGCAGGCAGCGAGCCCAGGCAGGCCGCAACGCAGCAGGGACTAAGAGCAGGGAGACGGCGAGGCAGCCAGGCGGGCAGGGAAGCAGGCGTGCATGGCAGCCCAAACCCCTGACGACACACCAACACACGCCTCACAGCACACACCCAACGACACAAAACCCCAACACACACACACCTGCACCAGCTCCAGCACGTTGCTCTTGCCGTACGCCACCAGCTGCCGCTCCAGCCTGGTCAGCGCCTCGGCGCCCAGCCGCTGCGGCGGCAGGGCGGGGGGCAACCGGGAGACCGGACAGATGCTCAAGACCTTGCTCAAGACCCTGGCTGCCCCCTAAGTTGGAGGCCACTCCTGCCCAGCAGCCGTGGCCACACAGGACCCTGCAGCGCTTGGTCAAGCTGGACCCCTGGCGTGTGGCCCTGGACGCTTGCCTCACCAGGGGCGCAGGGCGCAGGTGCACGGTGGCCGCCGTGAGGAAGAGGAAGATGAGGAAGCCGATGAGGTGGGTCCACACATTGCCGGTCTCGTTGTGCAGGCGGAACAGGGAGGCCAGGGACTTGCGGAAGTTGGCTGGGGGGCGGTACCTGCGGTTGGGGACGGGCAGGTTTATCAATGGGTTAGCAGGCAATCAAACATGCCTGCCGAGGAGGAGGGACGCATGAGCCGGCGCCCAATTTGGCGGCAGCAATGTGGCGTACAAAAATGGCATGGGATGCATGGTGACAACCCCTGGATTTCCAGGAAGCGGCAGGGAGTCTGGCAGGCAGCAAGAGGGCCTCCAGGCTCACCAGTGTCTTATGTGCGGGTTGTCGCGGTAATGGTCGGGCGCCTGCTCAAACGGCAGCAGGGTGCGCTTGCGCCGCTCCAACCGGCGCTGGTGGCGCGGCGTGGCGACCGCCGTGGCGGCCATGGCTGCATCACGAGCCGCGGCGCTGCTGCCCACGGCCCCGGCGCCTGCGGCGAAGGCCTCTGCCGCGGCGCTGGCTACATCGCTGCCGACTAAGGCCGCCGCGTCAGCAGCGGTGGCGGCGGCGGTCGCAGGGCCTGGGCCCTCGTCCACTGCGTGTGCGACGGGCCTGCGCCGCACCGAAGGCATGACGCCTGCGGCTTGCAGAAGGACGCTTAGACTCCCCAAACGTGCGGCTCCGGGAGCGCCGGGTTGGGGCCAGGAATGGATTGGGTGTGCTCAGAAGGCGTGGGTATGATGAAAGCGGGTTTGAACGAATGCCTGCGGGCACGAAGAGGGGGAGCATATTGTGGGGACCTGCTGCGCCGGGCCCAGCAGCGGCAGGTCCCCACTGCAGAAGCAGCTTTCGGGCGACCGCCAGCGATCGCAGGGAGGCCGGTGCGCCTGTGCGGGCCCTGCGGTTCAACTATGCCGCCCTACGCCCGCTACCGCCTCTGCCCGCCACCTGCCCTCGCCGCTGGCACCAGCGCCGCTGCACGCCTAATTGCGCGCCTAATCAAGTCGATCGTCGCATTTCCTATTCTCGATCAACAGTGCAAAGGAGCCTGGCCTGCGCGCTGCTTTCACCGCTGACCGCTTCGGCTGGCTGCACTGCGGAGATGGAGAGTCTCTGCAGAGCCCCGCTCAGTCTTGCATACATCTGGCTACAGGATACACCATTTCAGAGGCTTACACAATGGCGAGACAGGCAAAATGGCCTGCCTGCGAGACGGGCATGCAGCCACAGCAGCACGGCGCAGCAGGCGGCCAGCAGGCAGAGCCGTAATCGCAATGCATGCCTTCTGCAAAAGCACTCAACCAATCCCACCGTCCCTACAGCGCAGCTGGAGTGAGTGTCTCTCCCCTCTGGCACATGCACGGGTAGAGACAGTGCGGCATGCCAAAGGCGGAGGGCAAGGCTGCCTCTGCAGCAGAGGACGATGCGCTTAAGGCCGACGTCAAGGCGCAGCTCGCGCAGCTGGGCTTTGGGTCCGGCGGCGGCTTCAGCGATGCCGCTTTCGACGACTTTGCGCCCCAGAAAGCCAACAAGCGCATCGGCAAGAAGCAGGCGGGAGGACAGCAGCAGCAGCAGGATGGCAAGGGGCGCGCTGTGGCCAAGCGGCAGGACGACGCCGCGACGCCTGGCGGCAAGCGGCAGGATGCCCCGCCAACCGGCAGGCAGCAGCAATCAGGCGGCCGCCAGCAGCAGCAGCAAGAAGGCGGCCGCCAGCAGCAGCAGCAGACAGGCGGCCGCCAGCAGGAGCAGCAGCAGGAGCGGCGGGGCGGCGGGCCGCAGCAGCCGCAGCGGCGGTCTTGGCAGGAGCAGCAGGGTGGGGATGAGGCGACGGCCACCCCCAAAATCCCGAACGCCAAGAGCATCCTGCCCCGGGATGAGCCCACCATCTGGCACGAGGCGGTCAGTACGCTGCCCGCTCTGCCGCCCGCAAAGGCCGAGGCGGCGCCCGAGGTGGTGCAGCAGAAGCGGAAGCAGGCGGAGCGGCTGCTGCTGGTGGAGGAGCAGGTGGGCCAGCACAGCCCCTGCCTGCCTGCCTGCCTGCCTGCCTGCCTGCCTGCCTTGATTTTGCAGAACAGCGGCTATGCAGCAAGCAAGAAAGGCCCCCCGCTGCTGCGCCACGTGCTGGCCCGCCTGCCCTGCTGCTGCCGCGCCCTTGCCTGCACCGCTCCCACACCCCACACCCCACGCTTGCCCCGGCGCCAGCACTCCCGGGCGGGTAGCGGCCTCCGGCCAGGTGCCGGAGGGCTGCGGTGACCTGCTGGGACTTGTCGAGTGGCGCCCACAGCAGCCACGGCTCACTAAATGCCACCCCCGGCCTCCCCCTGTGCCGCTGGTGGGCCGCTAGAGCCGTACACCCCTGAAGCACCCCCTCCTCCACCCCCCTTCCACCTTGCACCAGACACGCACGCCGCATCCCTTGTTCATTTTGGAAAGAATTTGGAAAGCCCCATGCTGCCCCTAGAAGCGCAGGGCGCACACCCTCCACGCCGCCGACGACCTCTGCCTGCCCGCCTGCCCGCCTGCCCGTCCCTGCCACAGGCGTTTGAGCAGAACATGGGGCGGCGCAGCGGCGCCGACGCCAAGTGGCTGCAGCAGGTGCGGCACGGCGGTACCACGTCGGATCGCGTGGCAGCGATGTCGGTGCTGGTACAGGACGGCGCCGCCGCCAACCTGGCATCGCTGGATGGCCTGCTGGCCATGTGCGGCAAGCGGGGAGGTGAGCAGGGGCGTGCGGGAGGGAGCAGCCGCGGGCGGGCTGGGCTGGGAGGGCCGGGAGGCTGGGGTGCAGCGGGCGTGCCGCTGCTGTTGATACGGCGGCGGGGGGGGGGGCGGGGGGGGTCCCTCTGCTTCCCTGTCGCCCCGGCCCGCCCCCTACCTGCCGTGCAAGCCGGCTGCCCTGTCGTTCTCCTTGATTGAGCAGGCGCCCGCGCCGTGGTGACTAGTGCCATGGATGCGCTCAAGGAGCTATTCACAACGGTGCTGCTGCCCGACCGCAAGCTGAGGTGCGCTGCCGCCCTGCCGCAGCCGCTGCAGCCGCTGGCGCTGCCGGCGGCGGTTCGTGCCTGGTGCGTGCCGCAGCGCCACAGCCGCCGGCCTCGTCTCGCCACCGCCCGCCCGCCCGCCCACCCACTCGTACGCCTGCTCCTCGCAGGTTCTTTGAGCAGCAGCCGCTGGCCAAGGTGGAGGCGGGGCGGGACGGGGAGCGGCGCCTGCTGTACTGGCTGGTGGAGGACGGAGTGAAGAAGCGGTGAGCGTGCACAGCATGCACAGCAGGCTGCGCTGTGCGTGGGGTCCCCTGAGGCAGCACCACGCGCCTCCAGGCAGCCTCCCTTGTCTACCGCCGCATGTCGGCGCGGGCGTGCGCCTGGCCTGCACGCCGGGCCAGGCAGCTGCCGCCTTGACTGCAGCCTCCCGCTCCGCCCAGGCCTCACCCTCGCCCCCGCCCCTCCC